TGTTTTCTTTTTTTTTTATAAATAATAAAATTCAAAAAAACAAACTTTGATTATTTGTAATTCAACTTGTTCTTCTGTTTGTACACCACGAAAACAATTACATATTGTTGATACAATACGATCAATTAATAATTTTGATGGATCAATTGGATCAGCAATACTTCCAAGTAAATGTCCATGTAAAAGAAGTTTCTATTTTTTAATAACAAAACAATCAAATGAAATATAATTAATAGACAAAAATATTTACTTGAAGACAATCAAGTGATGTATCAACCATTCGTGGATGATTTGTTGTACAAGCTAATTCAAATGGAAGAAAATATTTTTCAGCATTAATTGATTGTTGATCTGTAGATGGTAAAATAGATGATTCATTTACTCTAAATAAAATAAATGAAACAAAAGAAAAGATCTTTTTTTTTGTTAATGATCTTACTGAGATATTTGAATATCTTTTGTAATTGATGTTAATGCTGTTTCACAAGCTCGTTTTAATTGTTGATATTGAGATTTTTTAATATCTTTTTCATTTAATAATTTTTCAAGTGCACGTTTAAGAAACATAGTTTTACTATCGGTTATTAATATATTTTCGTCTTTTTCTTTTTTTTGAGGCATTGAATAAAAAAATAGGATAAATTTATTTGAGAGCTTAGCAATGAAACATTGACAATAGCATCTAATAAAGAAAAAGGAAAAGAAAAATTGGACAACAAATATTTCCTCTTTTTTTTGTTTTTGTTTCAAGGTGACAAATCAATTCTCTCTCTGTCTCTCTCTCTCTCTTTTTGTTTTCTTTCATCCAGTATTTGTTCTTATTTTTTTTTTCTCTCTTCTATTGTGATCATCGCATCAGTAGATAGTAGTGTTGATATGTTGGTTGCAATATATTGACCAATCTCTGATTGAAATTGTATATAAAAAAATAAAAATAGATGGAGCTAATTATCAGATAAATAATTGAGATTAATATACAAATAAAGATAAAAGATAGTTAATCTAATGTTTTTTTATCCTTCCCGTATGCTATTAACCGATTGTTATCTCTTAAAATATATGCGATATAGAAAATCATATAGATCACTCATATATTTTTAATGAGCAAATATGTTTCAAATGCAATAGACAAAGTATTAATAATTAGAAAATCTTGTTATAATTGAAATTTCTTACATGATATTTCAACGGTAGGATATTTAGTATTTTACAATGCATTGAAGATTTCTATTAAAAGACACTAGAATGATTGAAAGACGAAGCACATTTTCGAAAGAATACAATCATTACATAATCATAAATCAATAACGTATTATTTTGCTATGCGAAATCACGTGATTATTTGATTGAAATGTTATAAATCAGAATTTTAGTAATGAAAATGCGAAAGATAATTATTCGATGTTTAAATACACATATTGTCTATTTTTATTGAAACATATTTTGTTCGATCAGCTTTTTATGTTTCTTGTCTTCTCCCACCTCATTTATACTCTCAATCTGTTCAACTTAGTTCGAAAAAGGTTTTAGATTCAAGAAAACGTGCATTATTAATAGTCTCGAAAATTCTATACTATATAATGATTACACTAGTATAGCGAAGGGTGCATTAATTGCTGGAAAGAAATTATAATCATACTAATAAAATATAAAAATTCGTAGTTTTTTCTACTATTTCGAAAGATCTGACAATCCTGGTATTAATGCATTCATAAGATCATCTTGTTAATATTTTCAATCTATGAAATATTACCTATTGGAGCCGTTGAGAATATAGTTATCTAGATACAGAAAGTCAGTATCTCGAGTGCTGTTTTGATTGATCCGTTCATCTGAGTATCAAGTATAGTAAATTATGGAATAGTCAAAATCAAGATCTTATTCATTATTCACAAGATCATCTTCTCTAGGAAAATTTTGACTTTTTATAAGTTTTTGTAAAAGAATTTTTTTCAAAAACATATAAACAATGAAATTTTCAGCTCTGCGTTATTTCAGAAATGTCTAATTAGTTACAATTGAAAGAATTCATCGTTATTAAATACAATAGAGATCAATTCAATAATGAAAAATATGATTTTGTTGCTCATATAATCAATATCAGCAATGTATCAGACAGTTTAGTCAACTGCTTAGCTTTGCATAAGCTAATTCAACTGATGATGATGGCATTTTTTGTAGTGTAATATGAGACAAAATTATTTTACAGCTTATCATCTTCGGAAAACTTTTTAAAAAAATTTTGTTTGCTCAACATTGACATACGAGACAATAATCACCTGAATCATGCCTTGAACTATAGATCTGAAATACATGTATCAATCAAAATTTCCTTCAAAAAAAAACATCATTTCCATGCATTTTTTTTGAAAGTTTTCCAAAGATGACGAGTTTTAAAATGATTTTGTCTTATATAATATCAGACAAAACGACGTACAAAATTCTAATCTCTCGATTGCTGTTGCCGTTGTTGACTTATTGAGCTGACATTCATTTCTTTCAATTTTTTAAGATAATCAATTTTGATACAGGACTATAATAATGCAAGAACTATTTGTATGCAATCATTTTGATTTCCCAGCCAGTGATTTTCTAAAATCTTATTGACTATAGTAAGACACTTACCTTAGTATTCAATAGGAAAAAGATAGATTATTCATATATGCATATAATGTGTAATAATGTTTACATGTACTAATACACCATTTGCTGATATATTAATTGTTTATTTGTGTTTGATACAAAACACAACCACGGTTATTATTATCATTCGATTGGAGATTTTTATCTGAATTAAATCTACTGATAATTCATAGATTTTGATCAATGATTGTATAAAAAAAAAAAGATGAATACAAATAGTTCTTGCATTATCAATTTCGTATATCAAAATTGAATGTCTTAATTCCAATTCATCCTAGGGCTGTTTATATATTCAATTTGTTAATTGACTAGTGAAGGTTATGATTTGACTTAAACTTAGTCAATTTTTTTAAACTAACTATATAAAAAGTTTTATTTTTATGATAGATTTTGCCTTATGATAAAATAACTATTGTTATCGACAGAGGTCATTAACATACAATGTATTTAGATAATTAACTATAATGTTGTCATTCTATCGTTTTTATATTGTAAAAAAATAAACATAAATCAGTTAGGAAATAATCATCTTTGTTGTTTCCTAAATACAAAAAAAAAGATAATAAATTATTTTATTTAACTAACTAATCCAATTTATGACTAATCTTTCTAACTTAATCAAACGCGGAAAAAACCCAGTATGAATTGCAAAAGGATATAAATAAGTTTTCCTGTAAATAAAAACAATGTTTTTTGCTTTTAAATATCTAATTTTTAAATCAAATTACAAATAGATCATTATCAAATGATTTTTTTCTCATTATGATTCATGAATCGACCAAGTCATTCTAGAAAAGTAAACAACAATATAATTTTGTTTTTTTTTTTTTACGTCATTACATTTTAGAGTATTTATATTCATAATGGATGCAAATGATGACTCAACTGCTCATACATCAGACACAACCGCATCGTTGCTTATAGATTTGTTTTCAAATGAAATCAATAAACAAGATGTTAATGGACTACTTCATGCACAAAATTTATTGTATATTTATGAAATTTTTTTTTTTCTATAAAAGAAAAATTTTCATTTTTTAATTTTTTTTGGTTTTTTTTTTTAAATTAGACTTGAACAATTGGATAAAACAAATGAAAAATTAGATGGAATTAATAAAATATCAGCTGAACGTTATGTAGATGCAACAAAAGAATTTGCAAATCATACACAAATGTTAATAACTATGAAAAGAGATCTTGATTTGATTTTTAAACAAATTAAGTATAACGAAAAGAAAATTTTAATATCTATGTCGTTACAAATAATAGTCTATTTTAGATTACTTAAAACACAATTAAATAAAAAATATCCTGAGCCTTATGCGTCTGGTAATACAAAATGCTTTATTCTTGCAAGAGAAAGAATTTTTGTTTTCTTTTTCAGTCGCTGATATAAATACAAAACAAGATGATTCTCTTGATGACGAAGAAGATGATGGTTTAGCTTCAGCAATAGTATATAATTATTAGTTATTCAATGTTAAAAATTATTTTATTTTGTTTTGTTTATATAGAAACCTATTAATAACTCATCACTTGTTAAATCAAAAACAGTTGATTGTTCGGAATTATCATCATCACTACGTGAAACGTATACTTTACCACAAATAAATGATAATACTACTGAACAATCACTAAGTCCACTTGATGCTGTACGACGATTTGTATTTAATAAATCATCAGGTGGACCAGAATTGACAACATTTTTTAAAAATGCTCGCAACGAATTAAGAAAAATTAATGAAGGATTTCTTGGTAGCAATAATCAAAAACAATCGACATCTCATGAAGAATAAGCTTTATTTTACTTTTCTTTTATCATAAAAATTTTCTTTTCCTTCTTATTGTATTATTTATGTCAGATTAAATTAAATTAATCTTATTTGTATTTTTTTGTTTTAGATTAATATTTTAATTAAGAATAATATAAAAAAAAAACAAAAATAAAAACAATTGATTTCTTTGTGGTAAGTTGAACTCTAATGATTCAAAGATTTAATATTGTATTAAAAGCTAAAAAAATTTCAAAATGACTTATGAAATGAAATGTATTTTAAGACTAAAAATATATCCGATTACGAAAAACTTTTACTTTGACATAAGACCTTTGTTTATGTATGATTTTAATCAAGGATAAATCTAAGTGTATCTAAGAAAAGATTTGATAATCACAATATTCATAGAAAAAGAAAGATAAATATAATGTATATTTATATATGATCAACTCTTTATAAAAGAATGGTTTTTACTGGTAATCCTTCATATCCTTGAATAATTTATTGTTTTGTTACTTATCCCGCAAGTACATTTAAAACCTTTCCTTCTTTTTTGTTTCTAGTATTAATAATAAATTTTTTATGGCTACTGCATCAAATTTTGACGATCTTCTTCAATGTCCCATATGTTTGGATATATTACATGATCCAAAAGTTCTCGATTGTCAACATACATTTTGTGCTAATTGTTTAAAAGTACATCATGAATCATCGTCACGTCGATTAGGGTCTTCAAATAGTATTGTTTGTAAGTTCTTTTTTCTATTTCTTTTTTTTTTCCTGAAATCATTTATTTTCTTCTAATTACTTTTTTTTTCTTTTGAACTATAAAAAAAACAATAGGTCCAACATGTCGTGTACCATCAAATTTAATACATAATTCAATTGATAGTCTTCCGGGAAATTATATTGTACGTGATATAATCGAACGACAATATGGTACTATAACACCTGATCGTCCACCTGGTTATGCACAACAAATTCAAGATCGTATACAACGAATGAAAAAAGAAGATACTGAATCTGATTTTGCACGATATTTAAAACCAGCAGCTGCTGCTCTACTTGGTGTCCTTGGTGGTTTACTTTTAGCTAAAGGTGTAAAAAAAATGTGTGACAAAGATGAAAAATAAAGAAAAAAAAAAAGACGCTAATTGACCTAATTTATTCTTGCTTTTGCTCTTGTCTTCTTATGATTTAAAAATAATAAAATGAAAATTTAATTTATCATCGAAACTAAATAGTTAAAATGTTTTAATACGTTGTCAATTATTATAAATATTTTTGTTTGAAAGGAAGACAAACTCTTAATCTTGAATGTTTTTATTTATTCAAAAAAAAAAAAAAAAAGATTAAAAAATATGAAATTTGTTTTTGCATGTAAAAGTAATTTTATTGACATGACAAATTTCATGTACAAGATTATGATGAAATTAATAAGAAAATACTCGAAAATTTTACGGATTTAAAAAGACTAATATAGTCACATATAAGTATTTGCATAGATATACTATGAAACAGTACAGCAATCGAATGATCTTTCAATATTAATGATTAACTTAGACCATGACAGTACTCAAAAATTTTTATTCGATTCATTGTTCATATAGATATGAATATTTTATGTTTAATTGTACTTTACATATAAAGAGATCCTTTAAGTATAGACGACATTGTTTTAAATTTGAATCAGTATATTTAGATCGAAATCTAACTATGACAAAAATTATATGTTAGTTACAATCATTATTTGTACTTAATCATATTTAATAATGTTGCAATTATTATTATGTTCAAGGGTACTCAATAATATACTTACAGCAAGAATTATTATGAGCAAAAAAAACTAATAATAATAATAAATAATTCTATTTTACAATAAATTATGAAAAGCAGTTAGTTTATTGAAAAACTAATTGAAATTTTTCTTGTTCAATGTCAACATATTTCGAAGTGCCTTTTTTTTATTTTTATTGTCAATAGTTGATCATAAGAATTCATCGGAATGTAGAAAAGAACAATATAATTATTACACAATCGATACTATAAAAAAATATCCTTGAAATAGTAAATTAAAACTTGAAATATCAATATCATAGCCTTGAAAGAAGAAAAATCGAATTTCTTTCTTTTTTTTTGTTTCACCTGAATATTTTAAACGTAATCGAATCGACTTGTCCTTCTTAACATTTTATTCAATTCTCATGATGACAACATATAAATGTTTTCATTTTATTGAAAAAAAAAAATGAATAAAACTTTCTTTTTTTTTTTTTCTTTTTCATTTTTTTCTAGACTATGCAATATTTAATATCCAATGGACTCATTTTTATTATATAGACGTTAATGACATTCTATCAGCAAACTTTTTATTATTAACTTCCCCCATTGGAGAATTATAAACTAGATTATTTTTTGCATTTTTATCTAACGAAAAAGAGAAGAAGAATAATGATATATTTATAAACAAAATATTCAAATAGTATGATAGAAATATTATACATTTCCAATTCATTTTAATAATGACATGATTCTGTGTGGAAATTATCATTCTATTGACAGGTAAGCAACAGATGGTAATCAGCAATTCTCTTTCGTGCATAGAAATCATTGTACTAATAGTCTTTAGTCTATTTGCTCATTTTAATATAACCACAAAAGTCATTTAACTCTCACTTTTTTCTTTTTTTAATCCATACTATAGTAGTTCTGTGTACTATAATTCTTTCTTTTCGTTTTATATACGTACCGATCAACACTAAATGAGGTTTCTTTAACAAACAACACATACATACACATCGAAGTGTGTCTGCAATTGCAAATCTAATCATGAAAGAACAGAAGAGAGGCAGAGAGAGAGAGAGAGAAAAAAATTGTCGCGACGATGTGCTGTTGCACACAAGTTGAGTTCAAATCATATTCTCGTTTGTTCTTCTTTTTTTCTCTTGCTATAATATGTTGTACTGTTGTTCAGCGAGAGTGAAGGAGAAAGGCACAAAAAAAAGTCTACATATGTGCACGATAGTTCAGGAAAAAAAAAAGATTGCTCACTCATTCAATATGAGGTGACAATATGTCAGCATATGTATATGTGCAATTCAGCGTCGATTAACTTAAGTATAAACGAGCACAGCACGAGAGAAATGTGTCCATTACTAAAATGAAACTCGTAAAAAAAAAATGAGCAATAACATTTTCAAATCCTTTTTCTTTCTTTTCTTTGCTTGTCCTTTATAGATATTCTTCTAAAATACAATGTCTTTGGATGCACGTGATAAAATAATTATAACAATAATATTAAGTATTGTTGGTCTTATATGTATGTTATTAATTATTTGTTTTATAATTTGGTTTATTATTCGTTATTATCGTTTGAAAACTAAACGTATGAATTCAAATGAAGAAAATAATTCACCTCCTATATCATCATATCATCGACAACAATATCAACGTACACAAAGATTTCCTTCAATTAAATTAAATCATAATAATAATAATATCATTAATAAGAAAAGAAAAAGAAAGAAAAGAAGATTTAATACAAATGATTCAGCTTTGACATTATCATTTGATCCGCCACATTTAATTAATCAAAATGTAAAAAATTTAGATAAATTACTTACTAGTGAATCAACATTAACAGCTAATTCATGGCATTATGAAGAAACCTTACCAAAAAAGCATTGGTAAAAATACATAAATTATTATTTTAAACAAAAGAATTTTTTTTCCCCTATAAAAATAGTATTTTTTGTTTTTAGTTATTATAAAAATCCATCAAATGAACCTGTTTATGCTTCATCATCAACTGTATTAACAACAGTTTCAAATTTAACAGGTACTCATGAAAATCTAAATAATGTACACTATCGTTTTCTAAATGAACTTGATCATGTATTACGTTTAAAACAAGAAGAACGTCGAAAACATTCATTAAAATATACTCAAAGTTGTCGTCAAACAACCGATTTATTACCATTTGATTATTATCGTTCAATATCACCACCATCAACAATAATCGAAACAAATTCAAGTAATCAGAATTCACTTGAACCTATATATATTCGTACAAATAAATTTTCAAATTTAACGTTAATACGTAAAGCTCGATTAGCACAATTACGAGATGATACAGCTATTTTATATTAAATACATAATACAAAACAATTTCGAAATTTATTCTTCTTTCTTTTTTTTTTAAATTATTTTGTTTAAATTTTTAAATACAATTTTTTATCTCATCTATGACAATAAATAAATAAATATATATATATATATATATATATATAAATATTAAGAAATCTATTTCAATGAAATTTTCTTAATTGTTGTCCTTGGATAAAGCAAAGTATTAAATGACAAATTATATGTATTTTCTCATGTTTGCTTTTTTTTCATTGTTATATATCGATGTATGTGTGTACATTCTTGTTAAACAGATTATATTGCTATAATTAAATGAAAATTTTCATCAATTCGAAATATATAATTTTTATAGTTAAATATGTTTAATAGTGTCAAATCGGAAGGATTGAATTCAATTATTAAAGACATTTTTTTGTTTTAGATATTTTGATATTATCCCATGTGTATGTGTTGCCGTGAATATCTGATATTTAATTATTGAATAGATTGGACATATATGCAGATATTATAATCAATGATATTTTATCGTATATTTGAGTTAATTTTACCTTGAAAAAGAGTATTAGCAGTCTCTTCAATAGACCATTTATTGATTCAATTGATCAGGTTAAGTAGTTTATAACTTGTATACATAGTGAATCAACTTCGTGTGTTGCTCGTTTTTTTTTTATATATATATTTTATGTATTTATTCAGATAGGTATATATTTCTTTTAATCTAGTTCTGTCGTCGAATATTTGTTAATTCAAAGAAATTTAGTTGTATTCATTGTTTTTTAAAAAACGATGCAATCAAAATTATTAATCTATCAAAAACCTTTTCAAAAGTAGAAAAATTATATCGATATTACATCATTAGACAAAAATTTCGATTATTTTCTTCTGATAAAATAAATTCATTTCTATTCTTTTATATTGTCATATATTTTAATCTTACATTTGAATTTTTTGATTACATCTCGATTGTAAATATTTCTTTTTTTTTTTTTGGCCAATTAAAGAAAAACAATATAATGAAAGTTAATTGAATATTTAACTTGTCTTTTGGTTCATAAACAAAATCAATCTTGTCAGTTGATATATCGATATAATTAAGAGAAAATTGAAATTTATCTCTCGAATAAAACATTAATCTAATTTATGTATACAAATCTATATTTTAGTCCTATTTCATTTTTACTCGAAAAATAGTATTATTCCATCATTTCCACATGGTACAACAATTGTAGATAAGTTATATCATAAGTTATGACAATTGATATTTCCATTCCATTTATTTTACTTGATTGCTGTCACTTGAAATACTTTCGATAGGACTAAATGTTAACAAAAAAAAAAAAGACCTAGACGACACATGACATCAAATCAGAAGTGCAGAATTTGATGGTAGAATAAAAAATTTCACTTGCTATCAAAATCAAAGGACAAGTTGAATTCTCAAATGAAAAAATTTTTCTACAGCCAATCATTTTCTAAAATTTCCACAAACTTAAAAGATTTTCTTCAACACCTGTTAGCACATACTGATAGATTCTTAATATCTCTATCAAACACTAGACTAACTTGAAATCGTTACTATTAAATCGAGATTCAGTATAATTCTTACTTAAATTTTATTTATTTCTAAAATTAAATTGAACTATTAATATTTATAATGGTATGAGTGAATGATAAAACTATCTATATTTTAAATGTGAATCATTTAAACAGATAAATGGTATATTTCTCAATTGAATACTAATCGTTCATTTTTTTGAAGCTTAACAATGAATGTTCTTGTCATTTGAAAGTTTTACAATGAATTGTAAAATATAATAATCCATAAATTGTACAATATTCACCTTGAAATTTAACCTAACAATGTTATTCATATTCTTGATATATTAAAATCGTTAAATATCTGTAGTGACTATTTGCTTTGGATTAATAAAACCGACGAGAAAACTTCTTTAGATGGCAAATCACTTTTTGTCTGAGACGACGTTCATTTGATGAGTAATAGACCAGCCTAGGATAGTTTGGTTTTCTGAGTCTTTTTTCTTGAGATATCAAAATTTTACTCAGGTTTTTCAACAAAAAGCTATGGTCACATTAAAAAATTTGACTTTCAACTTCAAACTTTGCACGAACAAAGTTCTTAATGGGAGTAGGTGATTGTGCAATTAATATTTCCTTTCTGAAGATGCAAATATATGAACAAAATTTGTCTTTACACATGAGAGAATTTCAAATATTCAATATCTTTGAATAGAAAATACTAGGAAAGTTACAACTTGCTCGATGAGCTAATCTTATTGACAACTTTGTTCGTGGAAAGTTTGAAGCTGAAAGTCGATTTTTCGCGTAATCATAGCTTTTTGTTGGAAAATCTGAGTAAAATTTTGATATCTCAAGAATGAAGGCACGAAAAATCAAACCGTTCTTTTGACTTTTATAGTATTCATCAAATAATCATCGTTTCGGTCGATAAACGATTTAACACTTAGGAGTTGTTCTTTCTTTTTTTCATATTGTAAAATAAATATTTATGATATTTGAATGTTTAAAAATGATCATATGTTTGATGTAATTCTTCTAAGAAGAAGAGAACAAAAATTTGCTATGATCAAACAAATAATATATTTAATATTTATTTAGCTCGACATAGACATTTAGTTAATTCATCATTTCTCCCAATTAGAAACGATCGAATCACTTGTCAACATAAGTCTATGTTTGATTGTAAAACATGTCAAGTCATAATCTTTCATAATATCTCAATATATATAAATGAAAAAGATCATTGATATATGTAGAACAAAAGAACAATCAACATTTTCATAATATTTAATTAAGCACGTTTTATAATAAATGAAAATGAAGATAAAAAATAAAACTGTATGTGTTAATATCAAAAAAGTAAGAATCAAGTCATGTTATTCAACGTTTTTGTTTTGTTTTTTTTTTCTTTTTGTTATTCACAATTACTTATCGACCGACAATAAAGTAAGATATTTATTTAGAGCTTTATACTGTTCGCCTTAAACGAACGAACTCTCTGTTATCTAATGCGAAAAAAAAAGAAGAGAGAAAGAAAAAAGAAATACAAGTAAAAAAACATTGATGACAATGACCAACGAACATACACATACTTATATCGACAATGAAGATGGAAAATCGAATCTTTAGAAATAAAAAATTTTTCAAAGATATTTCTATGTATCTATAACAAATAAATAGGTAGATATTTTAGAATTTTAATAAAAGATAATTGTTATTTTTCTTCTTGATATTAGAATATAAATAATAATGTTTACAAAATTCATTCTTATATCTATTATACAATTATATATTATTCAAACAATATTTTGTGTTTATTTTGGTCATGAAGTTGGCCGTACATCCATGGATTCAACACATTATGATCGTCGAATTGTACAACAACAATGTCCAATTAATAATCAAATGAAAGAATCACATCAAACTAAATATTTTGTTAATTTTAAATCTTTACCATCATCATCATCATCATCAACAACAACAAATAATAATAACAGTAATTTAATATTAATTCATGGACAATTCATAAGTAATTATGAAGAAGATCAACTGATAACAAGAGCTTCTTCAAGTCCAATTGATGTTAATAATACAGTTCCATTAAGTTTGGATCAAGCTACGATTGATGTGATTGTTGATAAACAAGTAAGATTTGTTTTACATTAAAAATTAATATAATATTTCTGCTAGAAACAAAAAAAAATTGAAATATTTAATTTGATAGTTAAATTTTGAAATATATGATTTGTTCAATTTAAATGAATTACATAGTTTCGATTGAAGAGCTATTAAAAAATTCATATCATTTACTTTTTTTCTTTATATTGAATTTTGTTTCAATATTAATTTATCTTTAATCCTGTTATATATTTCGTTTGTATGACCTAGATTGACGTACTGAAAAAGATCCTTTCATAACCTATAACATTTAATATTTGTTGAATATATCGTAACTTAATCCAAGGTATTATTCGATTAACAAATAGCGAGATATGAATATAGATTAGAAAGTTTTTCTCACATGCAGGATGGGTCATAAAGAACTTAACCTGTTATAAAAAAAAATAATTTGTATACTGATAATATTCAATTCTCAAACTAATATCTATTATAATAAATCGAGCTAAGAAAAAATTGATTTCATTTTAAAAACATTCCATTGTAGATGGAGACAAAAAAAGAAAAGAAATTTATTAAAAATGAACTGTCTTCTAAAATTCTAATATTGTCTTTTTAATTAAAAGCAAAATTATTTCTATTATATAGATCATTGGTAATCTATCAGTATATGTTCAAGTTATCGAATGTATTGATTGTCCTTATAAAATAATTGCACAAGATTTATCATCAAATAAAATACTTAATTTAACTGTAAATACAAAATATAATTATCGTATTCGTATAGAATTAAATAATACATTACTCTGTATCGAAACTCTAAGTTTATATGAACATGGTCATTATATTCTTAATGTAAAAATTTCCTTATCTTCATCAACAAATTCAAGTTCAAATTCTGATCTTATATGTACATTAATAACACGACATTCATCAAATAATATTTATATACCATTAATTATTGGTGGTATTATATTATTAATATTATTTATAGCTTGTATAGTTGCACAAAAAATAAAATTTCGTGAACGTTTGATAATACTTAAAAATCGATTTTTTAAAAGTGTACCACCACCACAAGAAACACCACATTCATATGATTTACAAGCACGTACATCAGCAACAGCAACTGATCCAATTAATGCGACAAATGGAAATTCAACTCTAACAAAATTACCACCGATACCTAAAATATCAAATGTTGCTGTACCTAAATCAAAACGTTTATTAAGTCTTGATGGATTTCGTGGTTTTGGTAAATGAACAAAAAAACAGAGCATTTTACAAAAAAAATATACCTTTGTTTTTTCGACTTTTTTTTTTTAGCTTTAGTAGCAATGATATTT